TATATATATATATATATATATATATATATATATATATATATATTTGGCGGTCGGTTTGGTCCAAACCGCCCAAAACAAGTTCCAAACCGCAGACCGGACCGGACCGCCCGGTTTGGCTATTTTGCAAACTAGACCGCTCAAACCGCCAAAAACGGTCCGGTTTGACTTGGTTCGGCCGGTTTGAACGGTCCAACGTTTTTTTGAACACCCCTAATCCTCCTTATCATTGGTGGGGTTTGAACTCCTGACTTATTAGGAGTCCAAAGGCTACGATACCACTAAATCAAAGATTTTTTGATTAATATCTTTCTTATTTAAATGAGGAAATTAATATTATAAATAAAATGATGAAAGGATATCATCTAAATTGTATGAAAAATTTGAGTGATGGTGTTTTTTTTTATAAAAATATATTTTGTTTATTTGAGGTGTTCATGATCTAAAATTTTCTAAATTGAGTGGTTGGGTAGCAAATGATTAAGCCAGTCAAATCGATTCACAAAGTGACAGTGTTGTTGATCAGTTTAGGTAGTTTGGACGTATTATGTGATTTAGATTAGAAAAACATAAGGTCCACATCCAAAATAAAATTTCTACTGATATAACATCATTTAAAAATAATAAACCGAATTATAAAAGACAAACATCTATTTCCAAAAATAAGAAAACATTGAATAAAAGTGAAATAATTCTACCAACAATAGTTTGAATTTTGACAAAATTAAGTTAAAAGACAATGTGAAATTTTGGATTTTGATTTTGACATTTTGGAATTTTGACGATTTAAAAACTTAATATGTTAGACGGACCTTTTTTTTTATTTGGGCCATGAAAACTGAATATAATTAATACATTTGTGTTTTGGCTGTTAGTTCTAGCCGAACCTTCAAAAGAACGTTCAAACTGGAGACTAGACTGAGAAATTTGACTATTTTTCATACTGGACCAGACCGCCGACTGTTAAAAACGATTCGGTTTGAGCAGTCCGATGGTTTTTTTTTTAAACACCCCCAATCTTCGGTTACAAGTTCAGTTTCCAATAAGTTTTATTGTTTTGCTAAACTAGTGTTTTTTTTTATTACAACTGTGATATCTTTGAAGTTAACCAATATCCAAATTGGGTATCATTAGTACTAAATCAAACCAATTCGGTATTTCATTATATCTTTTTCAAAATAATGATCTGAGATATGAGATGTATGCATACATGTTCTCCTTTATGGATCGTAGAACGATTGTTTCTGTGAAGACATCTGGTTTGTAGAAATGTGCTTCCAACTGAGGTACAACTGCTTCTTAAAATATTGATTTAACGTACGACATAGATTAATATCAACAAATAAAATTACTGGTAAAAAGGTCGACGATAGATGGTCTAGTTAATGCACTAACTACCAGGACGAGAAGGTGAACTATTTCATGTGAGATACCTTTCTTCTTGGTGCAATATTCTTCGAAGGTTAAACCTAACAACGTTTTAACAACTTGTATTTTATTTTATGCTTCAAAAACTCGTAATTTTACAAAATCAATTTGATACATAATTAAAAAATTTATAAAATATTATATTTAAAAATAAATATAATTACAAAAAGAATAAATATGATATTTTATGTTTTTGGATTATCCAAAATAGAGCAATGATTGATAGTTTTTTGGAAGAAAAGAAATATATTTTTTTTAACTTTAACCATTTAATCATTGACCGTCAATAATTATACAAAGGTCAGTACTCAGTAAGCGTTTATAGTAGGGGACCGTTTACCAAACGCTTAGTCGGGTAAGTGAACATCAAGTCACATTATCTTAACGTTTAATATGGTAAGAACCAAGAATCTTACCCGGTAAGAGCCGAGACAAGGACCAAGAGTCTTACCCAGTAAGTGAGAACGACGACTTTTATCACAGTAAGCGCTTACCAGGTAAATTGTTGCATACGATACTTGTTTTGGTGGACTAAAATCTTACCCGGTAAGTAAATGATAGTATTAAAATTTACCCGTAAACACTTACCGGGTAAGTGTTTGGTAAACAACCCCTAAATGTCTTCTTAATCCATTTTTTGTGTTAATGTCATGGCTTTCTTTGTTTTTATAGGTACTGAAATTTTGTGGTTTAATCTATACGATGTTGTCAATCTGTCTATGTGGTTGCTGCCTTTTTTTCTTCTTATCTTGTGGTTGCGGACATGATTTTGGTTGTTGTTCGAGCTGATGAACTTATTACTGGTGCTAGCTGGACAACTCGTTTGGCCTAGAATTCAAGGTGGCTTTCGTTCTTTTGCAGATATAGACGTTATTGACTTTTTCTTTGAGTTTGCACTTCGCCTTTTAAAAGCGTTACAATTTGTTAATTTATATCTGCTTATGTCTGTTACTTGATATTATATTAAGTGAACTTGGATACAAGTATTGTTTTGTATGTTTCGTTTAGGTCGTGTAAGGGGCCGTTTACCAAATGCTTACTCGGGTAAGTGAACACCAAGTCACATTACCTTACCGGATGAATATGGTAAAGATCAAGAATTTTACCCGGTAAGAGCGAAACAAGAACCAGGAGTCTTATCCGGCAAGTGAGGGCGACGACTCTTATCACGGTTTGTGTTTACCAGGTAAAATGTTGCATACAATGCCTTTTTGATGGACTAAAATCTTATCCAGTGAGTAAAGAATCGTGTTAAATTTTACAGGTAAGCACTTACCGGATAAATGTTTGGTAAACAGAAGTTTTGTTTCGGGATAACTTAATTCTTTATTGATTTTGAACTTCCAAAAACATATGTTTGACTTCTATACCCTTTTTGGTTTTAATAATATTATGTTGACAAAAATACCCCTTAACCCATCATTCATAAAACTTTTACCTAGGTTTCACCCAAGTTCTTAAAAAACAAATATAAATTCAAACTAAGGGTGCGTTTGGTTTGCATGAATGTTTTTGAGGGATTTGGATTTTTAGGAGGGATTTGGATTCCATGGGATTTGGATTGGATTGGATTTAAAATCCATCCTCTGTTTGATTTGTAGGATTTGTAGTATTGGATCTCCTTACTCAATTGACAATTATCGAGAACTACAGCAAAATTATCGAGAACTACAGCAAAATTATCGAGAACTACAGCAAAATTGAACCTAATCTGTATATTTAACCTAATATGTGTTCATAGTTTAGGGGAAAAGGTATTTACCTGTTGAGTGATGGGAGAAGGCAATGGGCGAGGGCGAGGGCGAGGGCGACGGTGAGCGACGACCACCGACGGAGGCGGCGACGGAGACGAAGGGCGACGGCGACAAAGGGCGACGGCAACGGAGACGAAGGGCGACGGAGACAAAGGGCGACGATGACGAAGGGCGACGGAGACGAAGGCCGACAGAGACGAAGGGCGACGGCGACGACGGGAGAGGGCGACGGAGACGAAAGGCGACGGCGACGAAGGGCCGACGGCGACGACGGCGGGAGAGGGCGAGGGATGTAAGCTGTGGGAGAAGATGGAGCGATGTTTAGCTCTGGATATGGATATGGAGATGGAGACGATGTAAGCTGTGTAATCTGGAATGGATTTTAAAATCCCGTGTATTTTCAAAGGATTTCCAAATCCATCGTTAATGGGATTTCAAAAGAATCATTGGATTTCAATTTCTCACAATCCAGCAAACCAAACACTGGATTGAAATGGATTTCAAATCCAAATCCCCCCCAATTTCATTCCAATCCCGCAAACCAAACGCACCCTAAAAATATTTATTTTATATAAGATATATTTTCGAATTTATAGTTCAAATAAAAATTAAAATGACATAAATTAAATAACTAAAATTAAAAATTAACACTAGAAAAACAAAAATAATATACAATAACTAAAATAAAAGGAAAAAAAAATACAAATTCAGATTAAAATACAAGGAAAAAAAAATACAATAATGAAATATAAGAAACAATAAAAATTTATTAAATTAGAAGTAACGACTAAATTACGGGTTTAATCCCTATGGTTTTGAAATTGTTTTCGGTTTGGTTCCTGTAATCTATTTATTCCAAGATAGCCCCTTTGCATCATCATAAAACATTGGTCTCTACCACTAACTATTGTTAACTCTCATCCGTTAAGTAAATAACACTTTCTTCTCCCCAACATAGAGTCCTAGACCACTTGACCCTTATTAACGGATGTAAGTTAAAGTCGTTAGTGACAGGGACCAATATATTACAAAAAAAATGTAAATTTTGAGAGTTACCTTGAGATAAACAAATTCTAGGGACCAGATTTAAAACAACAAGAACACAAACCAATTATTTCAGTGTACAAAAAAATGCATTTTCCCCGCATAATAATCTCATTTTATCGAAATTTAATATCATGTCAAACTTCAAACAAGTTTTTGTTTTATCATATCACTATCATCCTGTTAGTTTATCGTTTGTTTACTATTGAATTATAAATAAATTTTGTATATTTAATTATATAAAAATAAAATAATTTAATAAAATAAATTATTAATGTTTTCGTCCATATAGTTTACATTATTGCTCTTTTAGTCCATTATACTTAACGATAAAGCCCTTAAGGAGTTATTTTCAAGAACGAAAACAACAATAAATTAAAATCCATAGGGACGATAGCTATAACATCGAAAGTATCATAATGGAAGTCACAATTATTAACAAACCAAAGAGATAGAAAATGCAGCTTACTCGAATAAAAACTTTAAAAGGTTATGTCGATAATTAAAAACTTATTTAATCACAAGGGTGGTGTCTGATTCGTTTAAGCTTAGTTCAAAAGGTCAAAAGATCAAAAGTACCAGGAGATCACAAGTTCAAATCCAAGAAGAAATAAAAATCCCCTTGTGACCACGGAGATTCAAATGCGGTGACTCCGGGCTATCTGCAAAACAAATGGTTGCCCTGAGATTAGTCAGCTCGCATAGTGAGTTAGATATCTAGGTTAATAAAAGAAATTAAAAGCTTATTTAATATCATTAACTAACTTGCTTGTAGATTGCCTCGGACATGTAACTCAGTTGTCAAAGGAGCGGAACAACTTTGCTCAAATACGCAACAGGTTCAAGTTCAAATTTTACGGGAGGCGGGCTTAAACCCCTCCACTAGCCTCAACTGTTGTGTCAGCTCTAAAATGCCTCCTCACATGTGGTTCATAAATAGCAGGTTTCGTATAGGGCTGGTCGGGATTGTTCGTAACCAACCTTTCGCTAAAAAAAGTTGCTCATAAATTAAATATATATACTCTCTCTCTTCTTCCAAATTTGGAGATTTCTTCTTTCTCACTTCAACTTTTTTTCTATTTTAAAGAAGAGTTTAGCATAGCTGTTGAAGCAATTTTCTCAAATATCAAAATCAACTAACCAAAAAAATACCATTATAAACTTTTGTTATAAGCTATTAGTCTATACAAGATCCAAAAATATTCATGGCATGTGTTAGTATTTAATGCTTCATTTACTTGTACATTGTCTGTTCTAGTGTCTAGTTTTTTCCTAGGGGAAATGAGTTTTTCTGGTTTTCATCAAAATGATCAAATTCAGAGCAAGGTACAAGCTTTAATGCATTTAAATTATTCATGCCTTCAATCCTAGGAGTACAACCTCCAATGTAAAAAGTACTAGCAATAAAGCCTAAGCCTTGAGGCTCTTTCTCTCTCATATGTCGCCGGTTTGAGTCCCATCAAACCACTAAGATTTTCCCGAGTAAAATTGTCATTTCGTTAATTAAAGAGTTTAATAATTACACATTTCTCAAATTGTGTGTCGTGTATTTTTCATTGAAGAAGAAAGCCCATTCAAAGGTACAACTCCGTTATGCTGGTCTGTAAAGTCCCCCGAGGTCCTCTTTTGCTTCATTTTACCCAACAAAAGTACAACTCCTAACAACACTAGAAGTGGAGTTTACGGGCAAGGAGTGTACAAGGAGATGAAGCATGACGGCAGCACCAAGAGGGAAGGAAAGAGATGCAGCAAAGTCTGTCCCGAAGAACCCCACAATGGAGTCAGGAGAGTACCAAACGGTCATTGGCCCAATAGTACTTGAGTTACAGATAGAACCGAACTTCTTAGAAAGTCAAGGGTTCAAATCTCGTCAAACGTGAGGAGTGTGCATGAGTATTTTAGCTATATAAATATTATATACTTTAGAAAGTGAAGTCGAGAGAACAAGAGTATAAGGGAAGGCGATAGGTATGAGAGCGCAAGAAAAAGACTGGGTGACAAAGGCTATGTTTGGCCATACTAGCTTATTTTTTGAGTTTTATCGAGAAAAAACTCATAAAGTAGCCTTTTAAAAGAAACAAAAAATAAAAAGCAATTTTAGATATCTTATTGGGGCATTTTTTTCATTTCTTTTCTCAATTATGCCCATTATATTTTACATAAATGTCACTTATATTTTTTTTCTTTAAGTCATTTACATTGTCATGAAGTTTATTAACTAGTTTTTATCAAACATGATTAGTTTATTAGCTAGCTTATCAGCTAGTTTGGCAGAAATAGCCAAAAAAAGCAAGATATGAAAAACCTAAGCACTTACCGAGTAAGAATCCATATATACGCTTACTGGGTAAGCATCTCGGCCAATAACTATAGTGCTTAACCACATAATGAATACCATTATGCATGATCATCAAATAAGAAAGAATATACATACCTACATGCAACCTCTAAAAGCAATGGATTTTGTATAGTTTTTTATTTACACTAGATGATGTTATAGGCTCGAGCTAATCGATCTTCAAGAACAAGCCTAATCAAATCTTAAAAACAGCAGATAAATGAAACCCGATAGATTTAGTATTCTAACCTCAGAATGCCAATATGTGGAGATTTAGATGGGGATCCCGTAATTAGAAATCTTCCTAACCTCTTCATTAAGAACCCTCCTTTCTCGCTTTGCATCTAAAGCAAGTTTCGACACCTGAAAACAAGGACATCCAACATGAGAAGCCTTGTCATTACTTCTCAAAATAAACGCAATATTTTCCTTTTTTCTGGTAAAGTTCTAATCCAAAATTACGTCTTTGCCCACTAGCAACCATTACAAGAACAGTGAAAGAATCAGTTGGCATAAGATTCCTCTATTTTGGAATGGCACAGAAGATTATAAAGAAAAAAAACAGGCATTCAATTTAAATAGACAAAAACCCTGCTATTTGTGTTTGTTTATAAGTGTCACCTGGGTACGGGTTTGGGACCATAGTGTGAAGACTTGGTCATTAGGACCACAAGAATGAGTTGTTGCATATAACTGTTTGGTGCCTTTCGTATGCATGACAAAGCAATACAAAAACTTGTTATCCCAAGTTTGTTGTGGCGTTAGACCGGGACAGGATGGGATCGAGTGGGACAAAAAAGCCAAAATAGGTTTAACAAAATCAGGGAGATAAAAGACAAGATTAGTAAATTACTAAATTACTAAATTACTCATGTCAAATTTAACCCAAACCCTCCACAATTTTTCATCCGCCAACCTCACTCTCACATGTCCAGTACAATACATCCAGTCCGCTCACCAAACGCACCCTTAGAGGGCATTTGGTTCATGGAAAGGAATTTGGTGGAATTGGAATCCATCAAAGGAATTTGACTTTGAAGGAATTGGAATGAAATCTAACCACGCTTTTGGTTGGCAGAAATTGAAATGGGATCTCGCAAAAGAATTGGAATCTGCATGTGCTAAAGAGTGGGGGGATGGCGGCTGTGGCAACGACAATAGTGGTGTGGTGGTGTCGGGGTTAGGTGTGGGTGGCGGTTATGACGACGATGGTAGTGGGGTGGTGGTAGGTGAGTGGTGGTGGGTATGGGGTGGGGGGGGGGTGATGGTGTGATGGCGATAAAAGTATCGTGGTAGTTGTGGCAGGGGTGAGTGGGTGGCGGCTGTGACTCTGAACAGTAGTGGCATGGTGGGTGGGTGGCATGGCAACGACGCAGGTAGCGGCAGTGAAGGTTGATTAGGGTGGGTGGTAGCGGGGGTGGTGAGGTTGAGGGCGGTGAGGATGGAGGTGGGGTTGTTGGTTAAATTGGATACAAAGGTTATTTTTGTCTTTTAAAACCAAATTATAAAATTTATTATGTTTGCCACGAAGTGCTGTTCAAATCCTTCACTTATGCCAAGGAATGGTCAAATCCCTCGACCATGAAATTCAATGGAATCCACTCAATTAAATCCACGAACCACACATCATGGAATTTGGTAACCGAACAGCCCCTTAAGGTTTGAATTCACTTGTAGCGATTTTGCAGGCTTCTAAAACCAACGGAACTAATGACTTCTATAACTCACGGTTACAGCTTTTGGTTAAGTCCATTCTTATTAATGCCACCAGGGAGCTTTTTGTATGCTTTGCAAATGATGTTTATGACCATCCTCAAGGACTGTTCGTCCATAGGTGGAAGAAGTGGCATTGAAATAAATAGAAGAAAAAGATGACCGAATCTCAAAGGACTACTGTAAATGCAGTGTAGTTTTAAGTACATACTGCTGATCGGAATTGTGATGCATCCCTTTTTGGAAGCTCCTTGAGTATATCTTTCAAGCCTGATACGATTAAAATAATAACACACAAGAGAGAATCATATGCCACTAATAACTCTTTTATGTGTTCTAATTTAAAAAAGTAACCAAAATAACATCATTAATGCATACCCCCTGATTGTCTTTCAATCTTATAAGCTGAGCTAATGACCCCCTGGATCTGCTTTCCGGCTTGTCTACAGATTCAAACAATAACTAAAATGTATAAGATCAGATTAAGCCCAAGACAAACGTTTACCACAAACACAAACCTGAGTTTATTCCTTCCCCTTTTCAACTCTCTTTCTGCAGCTAACGAGAAATTCTGAAAGAAACATTGATTCATGGTTTGTTATGTATTCTGCTGTACGTATCAGTAAAAAAACAGACTGAATTGTCACATCAATCAGCTCTAAAAGCATTTCAAACTGCAACATTCACATATGATGTGTGATATATCATTGAACATCACCTGAGAAGGATATAGACCTTGTTCAGAAATAAGATGCAGATTGAGGAGAGACTTGTCTAGATGTCACACAAGTTGAACCTCAGCACATTTAAGACGAAAATTGGATGATTTACAAATTTAACCTTGAAGGAAGCAAAACTGTAGAATTAAAGTTCTATTTCTTGTTCCTGTTTATGGGTAATACTCTTGTGCTTTTGCAGCATAGAAAAATTACCAACCAAGTATGTGACATCGCTACCATAAATCTTTAAAGTGATCGCAGGAATAGAATCCATTAACTAAGCACAAAATCTGCGACTGTGGATGTGCATGATCTTCAACTATAATTTGGACTAACGGAGCTTCTTTCCATTCTCACATAAAGGGATTCACTTGGACAAAGGATTGAAAGGAAGAATACTGGATCCAGATCACTGATTGAGACGAAAGATATGGAGGGGGGAAATACCCTGGTTGCCATGTATATATTTTGATTTTCCATGCATAGGGGTATTGGAAGTAAGGATGGTCATAATTCATAACGAAGATCTAATAAAAATTGTTTATATTGCTTTGTCAAATTTTGCAGATTTATCTCGAAAAGCGATATAAGGATATTTCAATTAGGAATGTAGTTTCATCGCCTGATAGCAAGACAGTTTGGACTCCATAATCCAGGTATATAGAATCACTTGGAAGTTCTCAGCAACTCAAATATGAGGAAAAGTGTTTCCAACTGATCTTTGGTGGCATGGAAGAGGATAATGTGAGATCGCAAAAAAATTCTTTCATTTCCGTGAAATTGTTCAAGCATCCTTAAAGATGGCAATTTCGCATGGAAAGCCATTCATGGAAGAGCAGCAGATGACTTAAGAAAATAAAGTCAAACAAGTCCCTTCGGGTTGAATGCCTAACCAAGATGAAAGAAAATCATCTTTTTCCTGTAAGCAGTTGCTATTGAGTTATAAACTAATATTTCACTTTTGATATAAAATAGGTTGCCAAATTCTGTTCTATAATTTGGTGATTTTTAGGTCATATAACAGAAGAAAATGATATATTTTGGAAGATGGTACCTTTAAGTATTTTTTTTTTTTTGATTAACCTGGATATCCAACCCGCTATGCGAGCCGACTAAGCCCAGGGCAACCACCTGCTTTGCAGATAGCCCGGAGTCGCCGCATTTGAACCTCCGTGGCGACAAGGGGATTTTTATTCCTCCTTGGATTTGAACCTGGGACCTCCTGGTACTTTTGACCTTTGAAGCCAAGCTCAAACCAATCAGGCACCACCCTTGTGGTTACCTTTAAGTATTTTAGATCCACTGGAAGGGGAGAGAGAGAGAGAGAGAGAGAAGTTTGAGCTTAGTGTAACTGTGTATGAAGAAGTCCGTTCAATGTGGATGAGATGAGATAAGCCTAGCCTTATGAGCAGATTGGGGCAGGCTGACTAGTCTTAGATATGATTTGTGCCCTTCTGTCTTAATGCAGAACAACATATTGACTTACTGGCTAATACTTAAAATTTAGAATAATTAGCACAATTAGGAAGATGCCCTTGAAATTTATTAGCATTCATGAAAACCGGAAAGGAATACCTCCAGTTTCTTTCCTTCTTCCGTAATGTCTTTAACCGAGTCTCGTAATTTCTGAACCTTGGCAGTTGCTCTGGAAAGCATGGCCTGTTCACAGCAAAATAGAATGATAAATGAGTTGCAGAACTGCAGCCCCCACAGCAATTGACATCTAAATGGTGTGCAAAGCTACTTCAAGCTTTGAAACACAGACATAAATGCAATAAACGAAATAGAATAAATGCAAGAAAAACAAACAAGCGTACATTATATCAGAGTTAGGAACAAAAGGACGAGAGTTGGAGTATTAAGTGCACCAGGAAGCACAAAATCTCTTAAATGCACAATATTGCACTATTGGTCTCGTAAAATAATTCATCATGTGCAATTCCTTTCTAGTACAAGGACACATTAATGGAAGGTGAGAGAGCAGTGACAAATTCTAAACAATGAATGTGAGAACAACTGGTTTGTTCTACAATCAACTACCAGCACTCAAGTTTCTACTTAATTGCTTTAAGAACATGCATGTGATTGAAGTTTAATTGCAGGTGTAACAAACATCAGAAATTAAAAACAGTTGTTACCAAAACCAATGTTTGATCACACTTGTCTCCCAGACTCCCACAGCTTGTTAACAATGATAATAACACCAAATACGTCAGATGATGAACTCTTTCAATGTAATGAGAGCCCTCTATAGTTACTGTATCATTGCACATATAAGTTGCAGCCAGTCCAGAAACCGTTCACAAATCCAACAAGGCGATGGAAGCAATCAGCATCTAAATGTATGTAATTATCTAGAAATATCTACTGATTGCGTCTAATGCAAATGAAGTCCACCTCAGAAAATTGAGTAGCAAGAAATGGAACTCTATAAGAAAGTTGTTAAATTTACCTCTTCACTTAGAAAAAGCCGCAATGTCTTGTAGTATAAAGCACGCCTTGACCCTACAGCAGCAGGAAAAGTTACCAAAGGTGGCTGGTAAGATAAGTTGATATGGAAATTAATAATTTTGATACCCTCCATAAGCTTGAATGGAGAACCAATAAACAATTTCAAGTTTGGCAATCTACTTGTAATTTCAGTATACTTCCAAACCTTTCCATCTTTGCTAATTATGAATTTAACAAATCTAGGGAACTAATTACGCTAAATACCGACTGAAATTCAGGAATTAAATGAAGTTTATATTACTTTTTGCAGCAAATGCATCGAGTTCCTGTAAGTAAATCTTGTAATTTATGAGCCTTACTTTTAACAGCCAGAAACCCTGAAACAACAACAATTCCGCTGGTAGCAAATGGATTTGCAGCAGCAAAGAAAACACCCTCTGAAACCCACCATTCATGTCAACAGCAAAATTGAGCCAAAAACATGAGAAACCAAAGAGAAAACATTTCAATCGCAACAACAGTCAGCCACTGGACTAACAAACCTCTGATCTTTCCAAACAAATAATCCTCATAAGCATTATATGCTGACTTGCGATCTCGCAGGGATTCCTAAAAATAATAACAAAACATTTAAATGTCAAATGATTGCATGTCTTGATAAAACCATTTACAACTCACTTTAGCCTTGATTTGAGAAAATGAAAGGCGACCCAGATGGGTAATCTTAACCAAATCTTACCTTCACTGATATCACAATTGACAAGTTACTTGAGCTTTAATCATCCCTAACATCTGGCATTATGAATGATTGTGGCATTGACACGCTCTATAATTGGCAAGCTTATTAGTCTACGTTTGTATGATGTCCAAACCATGTCGATTTATATAAAAGGTAGAAAGATAATTGCAGAGAAGGTCTAAGGGCAAACCAAGCTCCATTCAGAAAACACCCGAGCAAGATAAAAAGAACAAAATCGAACCCACGACCAAATGAAAAACTCTCTTAAGATAAAGCAAATAAAATATCCACAGGTATAAGTAAACAAAATCGAACCCACGACCATTGTGTTCAAAAACTCCATTGAATACAAGTTGAACACACAACCAACATTATCCTATTTGTAGTTCTTGCTATCAGGTTTATTATGTTTAGCCAATGTTCTTGAATAGAGTAAAACCGGTACCGATAACAAAGTTGAAGAGTGAGACATATGAAGTCCATAATCAAAGCCTAGCTCTTTGTCGAATGTCCAGGGGAAAAAAAAAAGGAGTACGATATGCGTGCATGAATTTGCTTATCCTAATTACACCGGTATCAATAACAGTCATTCATAACCTTGAACATAATGACAAAACCTAGTTATATTCTAACACAGAGTTGAAATGAACGACATTACTTTTATTTCATCTACAACCGAAAGGAATTTCTCAAATTTGGAAAGAAAAAAAAACATGATGATCATCATCTTCATCAACAACAACAAAAATTAGGAGAAACTTACGAATGTCATTTGAAGATTAGCACTGGAGGTCAACTTAAACTGCTTAAGGCGAGATGTAGTGGCGGAAATTGCAGATTCCAGGGTTCCTAGTATGGTTTTTGGTACGATCAGTGCCTGTTGGACGGCGTTATCAACCCATTCTGTGGCGGAATCACCGCCCACGGGGTTCACTTTCTCCAAAACATCGATGTCCGCCGACGCCGGTGGTTGCGATGGTGGTGATAGGTTCGCTTTGTTTTCCCTTGATTCGTCCATTTTCGCCGGAGAATCGAGGCGTTGGCAATGAAGAGAATAAAGCCTCTTTAAATGTAAAATTATTAAGAATAATGATAATGAGATTTTTATTTATTTAGAATTTGATTGAGATTGTTTATAAAAATAATTTATTAATTTATTTCGGTGTGACATCGGTAATAAGCACTTTTAAGTGTTTGGATAAACAACATATACCGGTGTTAAATGGGTAATAAGGAGTTTTTGAAGAAGATAAACCATTCTAACTTATAATAAGTTGATAAACACTTTTGTAAAAAAACATAAATTATTTCAAATAAACAATTCCAAACACCCCTTTAAATTTATGTAAACGACATCTCTAACAGTTTATTTAAAATGAAGAAAATAGAGATTTTGAGTCAATATTTTATTTCAATAACTTCCCCAAAACTATCTTTAAAATGAAGAAACCGAAAGAGAGAAGGGTTCTTTTCTCCAAACATAGAAAACATATTAAAATGGAGAATCTCTTGAAGATGAATGTAATTTTTTTGAAAATTTTGACTTTTGGTTCTCCATTTTGATATTTTTATTGTTGGAGCTGCTCTAAAATTTCCAATATGATTTATATTTATGTAACTGCAATAACTAGAATTGCAACCGTGATAATCGTTATTTTGAAATATTAACCGAATTAAAACGTAACCCTTTTCTTCCTTACTGGTTGGCATCAAGGTCCACGTACATGTGGATTAGAGTGTGTTGGTAAATTACGAGATGCAAATATTTTTCCAAATGGTGGCACCATTTACTATAAGAAAAAAATTTGAATATTTTTCATAAAATAATTTTCGTTTTTCATATGTGAGGTACTGTGTTCAATGTTTTATTGAAAAAAAGTTAGAAACACAATAAATTTGAAACTAAAACCCAAAAACTAAGAAAAATGACACAATCAAGATTCAAACCTAGGTCTAGGGTGAAAGAAAAACTATGCAAACAAACTCTACCAAGGAAAACTCATGTCACCATTGTAGTTTCAAAATATATATGGTTGCACAAAACAAAATGATACGGTAGCACCTTTCATAACCCTATAATTTTTTTAGATTACGCTAGAGGAACGAAGCGGTGACACATGCCACCATATCTATTAAAGTGGGTCCGCCCCTGTAAACGACATCCTTTCTTACGGAGTAAGCACCTCTTATTTATTAAGAAACAGTCATCATATAGTATATAGACCCTTAGGGGTTGTTTGTTTACCTCTTAATAGTTCCATTAAGTGATGAATCTTATTTGGCAAAAAAATATGTCTTTTAATGGTTCTAAAACCCTCTGAATGATTTTGTATTATGGATCTTAACCATTAAGCGTCCTAATTTCATTGTAAACAATTACCAAACGTTATATTTCATTTTGTACTATATCATGAGAGTCTCTTAATTATTTTGACCACTTAATCATTCTGCACCAAATCATTCATCAATTGTCAAACAACCCCTTAGACAAGTTGCATTCCTATTACCTTGTCAAGTTCATTCCATCAAAAACCCAATCAAACCCCATATCATCAAAATAACTCAATAAAATTAAATCCAGTTCAGATCAATTGGAAGTATAGTATCGAAGAGCAACATGCTATTTGAACATGCTATTTGAACTTATTATCTTAGTTTTCTACTAGTTTTTTTCTCACATATATAAACATCAGTTTTTTACATTTCCAGTTCTTTGATTTGGTTCAAAGAGGGTTTAAATGGGTGGATGGCCATAGGGGCCTTGGCCCCTGGGTTTTTTTTTTTCTCGGTAGAGTGAAACATCTTCAGTCCATTAAAGTTTTAAGTATAAATTTTTTTTGGGCCCCTCCACTATTGCTGATCCAGTTCATTTGTGTTCTGCCTCTGGCAACATTCGAAATAAAAGGGGTTGCATATTGGAGGAATTTACAAGTTTTGGAACTCGTTAGTTGTGTCAATGGGTTTATCATTTTGTCACATCGGTTATTGAATATTTTAAGAAACTATGAGAAAACTGAATATTTCATATATCCATAAAATCCAATTTGGTATCAAAGCGTTGAAGAAAAGAGTGAAGTCGCGAAACATGAATCCGATGAGGACAACGTGAATGTCGTGACTCATGAATATCATCTCCAACTTTGCTATAATTTGTTTTTATGTAACCAAGATACAACTGAATTGAAATCTGTAGGGCTCCAATTACTGGAAAGGGGAACAACTTTGACCTAATCTATTTGGCATCGATGTTGGGCTTTATTATCTCGATTTGATTAAGTAGGTTTCAGACATCGTTCTTCATGACTTTTCTTTATCGAAGCATTACTTAATTACCATCATCATCATCATCGATAAGTTGTGTTTGCAGAGGGGGCAACATGAGGGTATTCGAGAATGAGCAAAAAATACATGTTTTCCATAAGAAATAGATGCATAAAATGATAACATCACATGTTAAAGTCTAACAACCTTTTGTCTCAACCTACTCTTTAACCAAGCAATTTTGTTGCTTAATTGGTATTTCACATCTGACTGAACCCAGTAATCGAAATTTATTTCATTAAAAAATTCATTTTGGATATTAAAAAATACATTTAAAACAATATGTTGGCATGTATCTTGATGCAAAAATATCTTGAAAAGATATCTAAATAATGATAAAATTAGGAATTGACAAGTATCAATGGAAAATAAAGCATCTTAATAATAATAAAATTAAGAACTGACGATTTGATGATGATTATTCATTGAAAAAATGTGTAGAAAAGAATATTGTTGTGTTCATTTCGTAAGACATCGGTATTACATCCATCCCATGTGGTCTTTAGGCCGGCATAGGTTAGGGTTTAGATAAGATGTGGGCTATTTCTTTACCAGATCGATTTAAGAATAACAGAGAATGAAACATATAATTATTTATGTTACAAACTATTTATCGGCTCATATTCATATCTTATCCTTTAAGATAAGTGATAACGGGGCGATCAATAGAGATGAACAGTTAAAACAATTTAAATCGCAAAAAATATTGTTAAACATGAAATACATAGTTACTATATATATATAACCATTGGTTCATTTGAGAAGTAATAAGTATTTGAGAAGTAGAGAAATGATCCTAGCCTTTCATCTGGTCAATATTTGCGGCTTTGACTGTGAAGCACCGGATAATTCCTTGCATGGTATGTGTAAGATAGAGAGTAGTTTCATAACTTTTATAAATAAGTGGCAAAACAAGTGTATATGTGAACCCTTAAGTTCATATGTGAATCAATTAGTTAGTTCATATGTGAATTTGTATAATTCACATATGAACTATTTAACTGATTCACATATGAAACCGTGATTCCCATCAAAACTAATTAATTGATTCACATATGAATTATGGGTTTACATATGCACTTACGGTTCACATATGGACTTGTCTGCCGCCTATTTGTAAAGTTATGAAACTACCTCCTTATTTTTTGTTTGATCAGTCAAAAACAATTATTGACCAATCTTGACCGTATAAAGGGCTATGATCACTGTTTTACTTCTTGAAGACTTACCACTTCTCAAATGAACTTCTCTCTCTCTCTCTCTCTCTCTCTCTATATATATATATATATATATATATATGTATGGGCCTAATAAAATGAGAACTAATTAGTTTGTGGTAACTGTGAGAACCAATATTAACCACAAATCAATAGATAAATTAGGAAATTTATAATTTTGACAATTTTGAATTAAAATATTAATGCAAGGATATTTTTGGTATTTTAAAACTTTCCTCTCTCCTCTCTTCTCTCTCCAG